GACTTGATAGCAGTACATCCCCCTGCTCAGTCACAAAAGAGGTATTTTCTTGGTCACTGGGATGCATCCTAATCCAATTGTAACCAAAAAACGAGTCCATAAAGCTGAGGAGCTCGTGTCCAGTGGTGGCATCCTCAATCAGATTTATTCGAGGTAAAGGGAAATTGTCTTTAGGGCAAGCTCGGTTGAGGTCAATGAAGTCAATGTAGAGGTGTCATTTGCCATTGGTCTTCTTAACTAGAATCACGTTTGCTAACCATAAGGGGTAGTCTACTTCTCTAATGGCTTTGGCGTGGAGAAGTTTGCTGACCTCCTCATTGATTGCCTTTTCTGGGATAAAACTGTTTTGCTTCTGTTTAATGGGTTTGCAGGCAGGATGCACACTGAGCTTGTGTGTGATGACTGAAGGGTCGATTCCCTCCATGTCTTCTTACTTCTAGGAAAACACTTTCATATTTCTCCTCAGGAATTGGATCACGAAGTTTTTGATTTCTCTGCTTAGTTTAGATCCCATGTAGATCAGATGCTCTGGCTCCTCGTCGAGCTAAATTGACTCCAGTTTTTTTGATGGCGTTGGTCTAGTATCTAGCTCATCTCTCATGTCGAACTCATCTAACTGGATATTTTTAACTTTCTTCTTTTTCACAGAGGCCATACAGCACTCTCGGGCTACACGTTGGTCCCTTCAGACCACTCTAATTTCGTTTTCTGTAGGAATTTTCATAACAAGGTGGTAGGCAGAAAGAATGGCCCTTTATGGAGTTGAGGGAAGGTCTTCCAAGCGAGATGTTGTATGCAAAAGGTGCATCAACCACTAAGAACCTTATAGTAGTGGTGGCCTGGCTGGATTGATCCTAGGGGTAGCACCCTCTCCTCTGAAAATCCCAACAAATGAGCACTCATTGGCCTAAGTTTTTCTCTACCTATATCCATTTTGTTGAATGCAGACACAAAAATAAATGAGCACTCCATTTTGTCAGATTGATCCCAATGGACAGTTCTGTTGGCAACAACGGCTCTTACCACTAGGGGGTCATCGTGAGGATGCTGACAGCCTTCCAAGTTTGAGTCTGAGAAGGTGATTTTCGTGTCCAACCATGGTGTTTTGGACACAATATGCACTTTCAGTGCTTCATCAGTTTTGATTCTGCACAAGTGAGCTTTCCTGGCTAAATTGGAATCCCTACCTCCTACAAATCCCCTAGATATCACTCGATTTTCCCCTGTGGTTGTTAATGTTGCATAGGGGCTTACTGCGGAGGTGTTGGAGATGGTGGAGCTCGGTTCTGATTATTATAGGCAATAAAGCAGCGTAACTACTCTCATTGGATTAGGAATTCAATCTCTTTCTTTAGTTGGATGCAATCATCGATGTGGTGGCCATGATCCTTGTGGTACCCATAGTGCTTTGCGGGATCTCTCTTTGCAGGATCTGCCTTCATTCGAGGTGGCCACCTTAGAAACTTCTCATTCTGTACTTTATACAAGATCTAAGACACTGGTGGTGAAAGGGGTGAATTGTTGAGGTTCATACCTCAGTTGCAGTTCTAGCTGCAGAGGACCTAAGTGATCCCTGACATTTTCCCTTCTCTTGGGGGATTGTTCTCTGTCTCTTCTTGGAGACTTGCCTCTCTCCCTTTTTCTCTTCATTCCCTTTCTCTTTCTGCAATGGTGAGCTCCCTGCCTTAGAAAGGAGGGCTTCCTCGCTAGTAATATATTTCTCTACCTTGGCTAGCACTTCTGCTATACTTGCTTGTGGGTTTTTTGATATGGAGAACATCAAGCCCTTCGACTACACTCCTAGACCAGCAATGAACGTAGCTATGACAAATTTCTCATCTGGAACGTTCACCTTCAGGGATTCTGATTTGAACCTTTGGACATACGATCGCAAATTTTTGCTAGGTCCTTTTTTCACATTCAATAGGTGATAGCTCGACTTTTTGTAGATCTGAGCCCCTATAAAATGGGGCATAAAAGATATGGAAAGCGCCTTAAAGGAAGAGATCGACGTTAGGGGTAGCTTGTTAAACAAAGCCAAGGCTAAGCCCTTCAACATGATGGCAAAGGCTTGGCATCGCATAGGGTCATGGTATCCATGTAACTCCATCTGGTTTCTTATAGGTATTGAGGTGATCCATAGGATCTTTGGTCCTATAAAAAGCCTCCACTTGGGGCATGCTGAATTTTGGAGGGAAGGGGAAATGCAACACCCCAGCAGTGAATGGGGACTCAATTTGCTGCACCAAGGCATCCATCGTTACGGGAGTTTTACCTCTCATGGCTCCCTTCATGTGACTNCAGGGTCATGGTATCCATGTAACTCCATCTGGTTTCTTATAGGTATTGAGGTGATCCATAGGATCTTTGGTCCTATCAAAAGCCTCCACTTGGGGCATGCTGAATTTTGGAGGGAAGGGGAAATGCAACACCCCAGCAGTGAATGGGGACTCAGTTTGCTACACCAAGGCATCCATCGTTACGGGAGTTTTACCTCTCATGGCTCCCTTCATGTGACTGAGCTCCTACTGGATGTCCCTGAAGCGTTGCTCCCAGTATTGTTCTCTTCTTTCCTGTTGGACAGGGCAAAAATTATTTTTCTCGTTCCCATCGTTTTGACTCTGCACTTCTTCATTGTCACCATTCCTAGGAGGTGGCTGGGGAGCCTAGCTATTCTCTCCTCCTTTGTTAGCTTCCCTGAGGGGGCCGAGGTGTCGATGCTCCCCTTGTGGGGGATCTCCTTGGGTTAGTCTTGTCTACTAAGGACCTTGCAAGAGGTTTAAGAGCTCTTCATTCTACTGAATTAGACGCTGGTTAACTAGGCGAAGAGCCTCCAACTTGTTATTCATAGGGGGATCTATCATGGGAGGATTAACCTCGGTAGTAGGGAAAAAGTCTTGAAGATTTTTTTGTTGCCTACCAGTAGTGGCCTCTTGTTGGTTCTGCATCCGTGGGAGATTTATCTAGCTTCTGCTTATGTTGTGTATTGAGACCATCAATTACTAAAAGATTAGCGTATTTGTAACAGGAGCAATCATTCCCACAAACAACACCAAACTGATGGTGTTAATTACGTGGATGAACATAATCAATGAATCATGTAAGTAAGGCTAGATCAAAGCTACTAGGTTCTAGAGGATTATGGTAAAAATTCTTTGGGGAATTGGGATGATTTGCACAGTGAAGTTATAGTTGTTCACCAACTTGGGAGCTCGGCTAATTCATTCTTTAACGGAGTCTCTTGCTCCTTGGATTTGTAATAATGATCTAAGCGATTTACAGGGTGTTTCTTATACAACCGAAATTTCTTGCCTCGTATTGGAGGCACTATACAATATTTATAGTCTAATTATTAACTTTATGGGATCTGTAGCAAGATCTTTGCCTTCCATCCATCGGATCTTCCTTGATTTTGAGGAGAGGATCTTGGTTAGTTGGGAGTTTAGTGTCTTGTTTATAGCTTTCTGTTGCTTGGAAGGCGCGGGCGCCTTCCACCAACCAATTGTTTCCTTCTCGATTCCCTTATTGTTTCCTTTAAGGAGAACTCGAGGTCTGGACCACTAAGCCCTGGATATCTTATCTGACCTCTCTTCCCGAGTTCATACTTAGCTAGAATTCTATTCAGGTATCATCAACTTATATTAGAATCATTTTTTTTTATTTGGGCTAATTTTTTGCCCTAAATCGCAGAAAACAATAGCGACCAATTAAATTTGAATACAAGAGAGAGAGAGAGAGAGAGAGAGATGATTTGGGATGGAGGATCAACACTGTCATCATCAGTTGCAGCAACAGCGGCTGGGAGGAGGAAGCCAACATGGAGGGAGAAAGAAAACAATAGGAGGAGAGAGAGGAGGAGGGCTGTAACGAAAGGTACCCCTTCCTCCCCCTCCCCCCCTCTCTCACACACACAAAATTATGTATACAAAGGTAGATACATTCATGCTTGAATACAGTTTTTTCTTGATCTGCTTTGACAATTCTTGCTTGATTTCATGTAGATCTGAAAATTTGGGAAATGGGTCATCCTTATTTGCATCGAGACTATTATTCTTTTTCATCCTTTATTAGGGTTAATTAATTCTACAGATTTGGATTTGGGGAATCAATTGTTGTTAATTGGGTGTTTATCTTTGTTCCCTTCTTTTGAAACAGTGGGGATTTGTTGAATAGTGGATCAAGTTGTTTAATTTCTGATTTATTTGTCTTGTTTGTGTTGTGAAGGTCCTACTTTCAAAAACTAAATTGCATCCGAATTAACTGCCTTGTTGATCCTTCATGGATTTCATATCTTAACTGGGGTTATGGGGTGAACTATTTTCTTATGACCAGATTGTATATCTTAAGACTCTTAGTTTTATTGTTTATCACAAAATCAATGCATTTTTTTAAGACTTTCTTAGTTTTAGTGGGCAATTGAAATGCTCTATTATTGATGTTACTGTGCTACTATTGCATTTTAGACATATTTTATATTTTTTTATCTAAGTTATTATGTTTTATAATTATTATATATATATTTTTATTTTTTTATTATATGACCGGTCCAACCAGTTAACCCACCGATTGAACCACTGAACCATTTTTCCAATCCCCTATCCGGTTCGATGACCGGTTTGATTCTGATAACATTGACAAAAACACACCGTCCTAGTAACTGTCATACATGCAAAGCCTATAGAAAGTAGGCCTATGCATGCAAGGGGCAACTAGCCCAGCATAAGAATTTTTTTTTTTTTGCTTTTTAACGGCACCACAGTTGGTGCACAAAAGATAGACATAGTAAACAAAAAATGCAGAGAGACTATGGTGTGCAGGCACAGGACCCTTCCCACATTCTAATATAGCACCCAATAAATTTAGGACACGTGTTCACACTACACAAGAATAAGTGGCAGTAGTCATTAGTTGACATAGTAGTAGGGCCCACAAGGGTCTGGCAAGAATGCGTATGGACAATAGTTCCACAACAGGCACCATAATGTCATTGCAACACTTAGGGCCACGACGACACTCTAGTGTTGCGACAACATTCCAAGGCCACAACTAGCACCAGCACCGTGAAGGTCGGAACACATCCTCATCACATTGGAAGTGGTGAAACGGCACTGCCAGAATCTGGGGACAACCTTGTCGAGACTCGCCTCCCCTATGACAGAATTTGTATCCTAAACTTACTGGAAATCGTTGCTCGACTGGTCCAATGGACTAAAAGGGAGGGGTCCCACCTACGGACAGGGCAATGTGACCCTTCTTAAGGGAGAATTGAACAACGGCAGGACGAGGTCTTGAAGGTTTAGTTTACTCGAGTAGGCCTCCCAATGTACGGCTCAAGGCCTACTGGGATGTACTTGACTGGATGCATAGAGACTCCTAAGGTAACAGGGAGCTATTGGTCCGGATCAACATATGGGATAATGGAACATGTAGATTGGTGGCAAAAACATCGAAACTATGTGGGTTTCCTCTATCAGGCATCTTGACAAAGATCTCGAGGAAGGGTTTAGAGAGGAAATGGAAAATCTCAAGTAGGAACGCGCTAGGGGCATCATTTACATGGCCCTATCAATGTCATGGTCCCTTAATGACCAGTCGCAATCATTAACCTTAGGAGGCCATTTTTGTCTCGGTTGTCACACTCCTCATCGGGAGCTGCATTTAGGCTACATTTGGGAAAACACCATATCTGCCTAGTTAATGATGGGACATGTGACCCTTTGTTAATAGCCACTAGTATTGCTATGGTTGAGGCAGTTGTGGGTTTGCGCGGGTGTCAAAGGGTTACAACAAGTTGCCCAAACCTACCAAGCACTATGCTATTAATACCCGCATTACTTGCCCACTAGAGATGAGATTTTTTGACTACTAAGAGCATTTTCACTCTATTCACCCTACACTTTGCCTAATTGGTTAGTCCGTTCGTTAAGATGTTATTCGAGTTTCTTTTCATCTCATCTGCTTATTCTATTAATCCCTTTTGATTACCCTTATCATAGGCACATGAGTCAAATTATTTTGGGAGAATTACTCCCAGACTCTCTAAGGTTTGTTATTTAATTACTCAGACTTCTTGACATTTGAAATATTAAACAGCCCCTACGATTTGTACGCGAGCAACACTTAGACCCCGTAAAGTTTTGCTGTATATAATATTTAGACCTCTTAAGTTTAAAATATTATAATTAGACCAAAAATATTCCAATCAAAGATAAAATATCAAATATTTTAAATTTTATAACTAAAATTCATATTCTATTATATTATTTATTAAAAAAAAATTTAAAAAAAATTAATTTTTTCTTAAAAAATCGTAATTAGCATACAATTATACTATCTATTGGAATAAAACTAAAAAGCAAACAACGGGATCTAAGTCATTCATAATAGAACATGAATTGTACATCCAAAATTCATGTTCTATTATGTTATTTATTAAAATAAACAATATAATTGTATTCTAATTATGATTTTTTATGAAAAAATAAATTTTAATTTTTTGATTTTATTTCAATAAATGATATAATAGAATATGAATTTTAATTGTAAAATTTAAAATATTTGATATTTTATCTTTGATTGAAGTATTTTTTGTCTAAGTATAATATTTTAAATTTAAAGGGTTTACGTAATATATGTTTACAAACTTTAGAATGTCTGAGTGTAATTTGTTAACGAATATATTTACAGCAGAGATCTAATTGTTGTGTGTATAAACTTCAAGGGGTCTTTGTGTAATATTTTAAATGTCAGAGAATTTTAGTGATTAAGTGACAAATTTTAAGAGATGTGAGTATAATTCCCCCAATTATTTTAACTAGTGACCTCGATTCATTTTATTTATTCATCAAGATTGTGGACGGAACGTGGACGTTACATTTATCCTTCCTAGGAAATTGCTTCATGAATGCGGCCAATTACGAAAGATTCCTCTTTTAGGGACCGTAGATAATTTAATATTATGATTTTGGAAGGTGGACCAAATCTAGGTCTTTTAAAATGGATGGCAATTGTAAAGGACAAAATCAATGATGCATGAGGGGTTTTATTTTTGTTATTAAAAATGATATTTAATCTAAATGAAATCTAAAAGTTAAAACTCAAATACATATTATTTTTTGGATAATTGTGGGATGAGTGAACCCCATTAAAAAAATTGATGAGACTCATTCATCCAAGGAATGATATGCATTTAAGTTATAAATTTTTGGGTTTTATTTAGATTTTGTAGCATTGTTCTTTTGTTATTATGGATGTTAATATAAATCGGATAATTTCTGCTAATCCAGTGTATGAAAGTTTAATTTATGTCACTTTTTATTTATTAAAATTTGGTGTGGAAGAAATTTATGACTGTGTTTTTGGTATTAAAATTTGGGGTGGGACAAATTTTGAGTTTAACCTTAGTGGATTTGGACTAGATGGATAAAATTATTGTGATCCTCAACTCAATTCAATAAAATTATTGTAACACAAATTCGTTAAAGTATTCATGATTATAACACAAACTTGTTAAATTATACATGACTATAACACAAACTCGTTAAACTAAACATGATTATAAGTAGGACGGATATATATTAAGCAAATTTTGACACGATATGATCGAACGATTATTATCTTAGTTTTTTTCAATCTTACATATGTTTATGTAAATACTAAAAAAATGAATTATCACCTCGCACAATGCTTTTAATTTATTACAATCAAAGTCAATTGGCTGATTAATTATTTATCACCTAATTTTCATAAATTATAATTTTTTCTTCACTTAAATTCAAGACTTTTTTTATTTGGATCTGTTTTTTGTTCAATTATTATTTTTAAATGCAAAAGAACACACATAGAATAACAAAAAAAAAATTGAGTTTAAGTAATTTACTATTTAAAAATTTTATTTATTTTTTGAAAATTAATTTAGCTGTATTAATAAATTTTAATTCTCTTTCTTTATATTTTCAACTTATAGCAAATTTAATTATATTTTTGCCTCCCAATCCAACTTTAATTAATGAAGTTTTTATAACTAAAAAGCTTGAATGTAAAACTAATAGTTTTACATCTCAAATACAAGAACAATAATTTTTAAATAAATATATATTAATATATTAATATTTATTTTATTATATCTATATTATTATATTCATAGCAGTAGGGCCGTACACAATATGTAAAAGATGTAAAAGCAATCACACATCGAATAGTCTTAGTGTGTGTTTTTAAATGAACTAGTAATGCACAACGTGCGTTGCACGTAAAAAAAATTTAAATAATATTTTTTATAAAGAATTTGAATTATATGAATAATTAAATTAAAGAATAAATTAAGTGTTGAATAATTAATTCGTATTTTAATTATTACTAATTTTAATTATTCATTTATTATATTCTTTGAATAACTATTTTGTCATTTATTTAGATATTTCTCCAATCATTTTAGTCATTTGTATATCTAATTATGTTATAGAATTATTAATTTTTTTTTGTTAAACAAATTAATTAGATCGCTTATAATATTATTATATTACTTCATACTAAAAAATAAAATATAATATATACTTGATCGTGGAATTCAAATTGGTAATTTTTTTTAATTTAACATCTATAGGACTTTACTTCTGCATATAGATATAAAAAATTGTATGTAATTGTACTACTAATAAATGAGTTCAAAACAATTTAAAAGTCCTTATAAAAGAATCCAAAATAAGTTGAAAGAGTAAAAAATAAAAATATTATTATACTACTTCATACTAAAAAATAAAATATAATATGTGTTTGCTCGTAGAATTTAAATTAGTAATTTTTTTAATTTAACATATATAACACTTTATTTCTTCATATAAATATAGAAAATTGTATGTAATTGTATTACTAATAAATGAGTTCAAAAAAATTTAAAAGTCCTATAAAAGAGTTCAAAATAAGTTGAAAGTCAAATATGAGTAAAAAATGAAAATTAAATAAAAATATATATGTGAGTATAATTGACTTTAGTATAATAATTAAGGATACAATAAAAAATTAAAATTTTTTTTACTGATATTTATAAGTAATATAAATTTTATAACTCTCACACTTTTACGAATGAGTGGTTGTAGTTATCTTATGCTTAAAAAAAAAAAAAAAAGTACTGTATCAGGAATCACAATAGGTGTACTAGTAATTGTTTGGTTAGAAAGAGAAATATCTGCAGGGATACAACAACGTATTGGACCTGAATACGCCGGACCTTTAGGAATTCTTCAAACTCTAGCAAATGGTACAAAATTACTTTTCAAAGAGAATTTTCTTCCATCTAGAGGAGATAATCGCTTATTCAGTATCGGACGCGGGGGGTGGTTATTTAGCAGGAAACGTGAAAGACCAGGGTATTGACTTGTACAGGGACTTTGAAGCCCCACGCGGAGTTTGTACTTTAAAGCCCCTCGCGGAGTTTGAAGTGCCTAATTCTTGGAAATTAGGACATTACATTTCTACTAGGAAAATTATTTAAAATCCTTCATCCCAAAGACATAAAAAAAAAATCCAGAGTTAATTTTAAGTTTCGCTACAATCACCTGAACAGTCATGAATTTTAGAATCTCACACTTGTTCGAATAGATAAGATCGAACGTGTTTGAATTTTAAATTCAATCAAATTTTGGTACACCGATAATCCAAAAATATGCAAAACAAACATATATATATCTTTTTGGTTGGCTACAAAGCTACCTTGCTTGATCTGAAATAAAATAAAAAATAAAAAAATCCAAAAAAGATATAAAGTAAGAATATTGGAGATACTGTGAGCCAAAAAAAAAAAAATGCAAATATATTTGAAAGAAATATTCTTTTTTCCTGATAAACATTCTCCTACGGCCAAGTGACATATAAATGTTGATAGAATGGCTGAATTCAAAAACAGTAAAAATTGTGAGGTTTAATTGTTAGAATTGAATTCATAGAACAACTAAAAACTAAGTGCATGCTGGTACAAATTATAAATTGACCTTATTAGTATTATATTATCATTACTTTAATACATGTACCGTGTAAAAATTAGAAGGATAGAAAAGTATGAGAAGTAGACTTTCCATCATTAATGGAAAGAAAAATACTATCCCCCATTTGTGATTGCTACGATGAATGGAAAGTTGAAAAAAATAATTTTCTATTATTTGGTATTAGAGGAAAAATGGAAGGAAAGAAAAAATACATGTATTTAATTTATCATAATATCCTTATATATAAATATATTTTTTATTACAAATAAATTTTTAAATATATATATATATATACAAAAAATATATGTAATAGGATATTTAGAAATATTTTTTGAGAAATGTGTAAAATTTAGTATATTTTAAGGGCAAAAAAGTTTATTTGTTCAAAAAAATGAATAAAAAAGTCAATAAATTAATAATTTGGTCAATTTTTTATTATTTTATATGGTATTAGAAGATAACTGAATAAAACAAATGACCAAAAAATGACTATAATTGCTCTTCTTAGTACACTATCCTTCACTTTTTTTGCTCTTCTGTTTTTCCGCGTAATTTAATTCCAAATTCCAAATAATTTTTGAACCGACTACCTTCCTTCCGTGCACTTTCGTCCTATTTGTAGAGTGATTAAATATGATGGACACATTCCCCTCAATTTTTCTTCCATACCAAGCAAAATAATGAAGATCGGTGAGTTGCTCTCAGACTTCCGTAAAAAAGTGAAGGATACGATAATCTTTTACAATGTCTTCTGTTGGTCTGCGATTATAGTCTCAGGTAACTTTGCAAAGCATACAAAAAACCTAGTATTTGTTGTTTGGTTTGCAATGGATTGTAGTTGGACTAGACTGCTTGTTACAGCTCTTTTTATTTCAAATTTTGTTTTGGTGAATTACAACTTGTAGGTTTAGAAATTGGGTACAGCTTTGTAGATAATGCAGTCGGGAAACTCTTAATGGATTACCTTGAAAATCAGCGGGATGAAAACAATCTTTGGACTTCTGTGGTAATGGTGAACGCAAAGGAAGGACTGGCGTCGGTTCTGATGATTTTTGTTGCTTACACAGCAGACGCCCACCTAGGACGTTTCAAAATGGTCTCATCATGCACTGCTGCCTATATCGTCGTAAGTGTCGATCCATGCTGCTGTCTCTCTCCCTCTCTCTCTTTTACACACACACATTTTTTAAGGAATATTAAGTAAAAGTTATAGCTGAACTTGCCGAGAGTAGGTTTCTCACAACCTCGCAGGTCAAACTAGTTTTATATATATAGACACATTAGTAGTATGATAGAAACAACATTGTCTTATGACCCTGATATTTGAGTTAGATCTCTGTTTTGGCATTCGCACTCACCTCCATGCAAATCCTTACAAAGTTATGCCTTTTTTTATTGGTAGTCAAGGTGTCAGCATACAACGGGGTACCAACTGCACTAGCAATATGGCTAATGAAAGATCTAGAAGCCTCGTCCCAATTTTTTGGCCGGAAAAGTTGTCACCAAGAAAATCGTCGCCAAAATTTTTTTCCCCTGGACTTTTTGACGGCTGGAATTTTTGAGAGCCCTCCATTTTTTTTGGGTAGAAAGTCTTAACGAAAGCCAAAATCATTTCAAAATAGTGAGGAAGAAACAAAGAGAGAGATCCCGGAGAGGTCTTGAGAGTTTTCTAGTGAAAAATTCTTGTATTTATTTCCTTAGAGAGAAATAAAGTATTCCTCTTTGTTTATATTGTGTTAGATGTGATTTTTTGGCCGTGGGTCACCAACAAGTGGTATCAAAGCTTTGGTTGGGTCGTCGATTTTTCTTTTCAGCCCACTATTTTTGGTTCGTACAGGTACTAAACGAACTCGAAATCAAATTTTGATCGCACCATTGGATTCCTCTCGTCGAAACAATTCAAACTCCATTTACCTCGCATCAATCCGACGTCGGACGCTCTCTTACAATTCTTGCCGGAATTTTGCCGAAAAGTTCACCGGCTGCCAAAGGTCGCTGGAATTACTGTCGGAAAAGTTCACCGGACCGATGACCGGAGGAAGGTTGAAGACAATGGAATATTCTCAAGGAATATTCAATTTCAATCAAAGAATATAAGAATATTCCATCTAGAGAATATTTTCAAAGAATATTCCCAGAGAATATTCTATCCAGAGAATATTTTGAGCAAGTTCTGAGCTCATTTTAGCTCCGTTTTTGATAAATCATGACTCTTTCCCAACTATTTCAATCATTCCGGACACAACGGTGCACTCCGTTTTGGGAAATTCAGCCCTAAATTTTTTGGATTGAGATATTAGAGCCTAAAAATACAAAATGTCCATGGAGGATTCAACATTGGGAGCTATGATCAAATTCATTGCTTCCAATTATACACTTTGGAGACCTCGGATGGAAGATCTCTTAAGCAGTAAAGACTTGTACCATCCCTTAGAGGTAAAATGTATAAATCCAGATCGTACAAAAGAAACAAAGTGGAAGAAACTGAATAGAAAAACCATTGGTCAAATTAGGCAATGGATTGACCATAGTGTATTCCACCATGTTGCACAAGAGACCGATGCTTATGTTCTCTGGAAGAAGCTGGAAGACATGTACCAGGCCAAGACAGCTCGGAATAAAGCCCTTTTAATGAGGCGGTTGGTAAATCTGAAATTAAAAGGTGGAACTTCAATTGCCCAGCACACTAGTGAGTTTCAGAGCTTGGTAAATCAATTATCATTTTTAGAATTAAAGCTGGGGGATGAAGAACAAGCCCTCATACTTCTTAGTTCTCTACCAGATAGTTGGGAGATGCTAGTAGTCTCTCTCAGCAATTTGGCACAAGGAAGCAAACTTACCATGTCAATGGTTAAGGATGCCCTGTTCAATGAGGAGGCAAGAAGAAAGGATGTCGGGATTAACCAATCAAATGCTCTCGTCACTGAGAGCAGGGATAGACAACAACAAGGAGGTGGTAGAATCAAGGGAAGAGGAAGGATTAAAAGTAGAGGAAGGTCACAAGATCCAGGGAGATCAAATGGTGGTGGAAGACCCAAATACAAGTGTTACCATTGTGGCATGTAGGGCCACATGAAGAAAAACTGCCGCAAGTTGCTACGAGAGCAAGACCAAGGTAGTAATCAGCCGAAAAAACAAGATGGAGAGGCGCTAGTTACTCTATCAGGGGATGTAGCCATTCTTTCTGTTAATGAGGAGACATTCCTTCATGTTTCTAACCATGATGCCGAGTGGGTGGTAGATATTGCAGCTTCTTACCACGCTACTTCTCACATCAATTTCTTCTCGACATACAAAGCCGGGGACTTTGGTACGGTGAAGATGGGAAACACCAATTCTTCTAAGATCGTAGAAATTAGTGATATTCAAATAAAAATACATGTTGGTTGGTTGCACATTGTTGTTGAAAGATGTTCGACATGCGCCTAAACTTCGGTTAGATTTACTTTCTAGGATAGCTCTTGACAGACTTGGTAACGATAACCACTTTGGTAATGGCACATGAAAGCTCACAAAAGGTGTCATGGTTGTCGCNTCATTGCTTCCAATTATACACTTTGGATACCTCGGATGGAAGATCTCTTAAGCAGTAAAGACTTGTACCATCCCTTAGAGGTAAAATGTATAAATCCAGATCGTACAAAAGAAACAAAGTGGAAGAAACTGAATAGAAAAACCATTGGTCAAATTAGGCAATGGATTGACCATAGTGTATTCCACCATGTTGCACAAGAGACCGATGCTTATGTTCTCTGGAAGAAGCTGGAAGACATGTACCAGGCCAAGACAGCTCGGAATAAAGCCCTTTTAATGAGGCGGTTGGTAAATCTGAAATTAAAAGGTGGAACTTCAATTGCCCAGCACACTAGTGAGTTTCAGAGCTTGGTAAATCAATTATCATTTTTAGAATTAAAGCTGGGGGATGAAGAACAAGCCCTCATACTTCTTAGTTCTCTACCAGATAGTTGGGAGATGCTAGTAGTCTCTCTCAGCAATTTGGCACAAGGAGACAAACTTACCATGTCAATGGTTAAGGATGCCCTGTTCAATGAGGAGGCAAGAAGAAAGGATGTCAGGATTAACCAATCAAATGCTCTCGTCATTGAGAGCAGGGATAGACAACAACAAGGAGGTGATAGAATCAAGGGAAGAGGAAGGATTAAAAGTAGAGGAAGGTCACAAGATCCAGGGAGATCAAATGGTGGTGGAAGACCCAAATACAAGTGTTACCATTGTGGCATGTAGGGCCACATGAAGAAAAACTGCCGCAAGTTGCTACGAGAGCAAGACCAAGGTAGTAATCAGCCGAAAAAACAAGATGGAGAGGCGCTAGTTACTCTATCAGGGGATGTAGCCATTCTTTCTGTTAATGAGGAGACATTCCTTCATGTTTCTAACCATGATGCCGAGTGGGTGGTAGATATTACAGCTTCTTACCACGCTACTTCTCACATCAATTTCTTCTCGACATACAAAGCCGGGGACTTTGGTACGGTGAAGATGGGAAACACCAATTCTTCTAAGATCGTAGAAATTAGTGATATTCAAATAAAAATACATGTTGGTTGGTTGCACATTGTTGTTGAAAGATGTTCGACATGCGCCTAAACTTCGGTTAGATTTACTTTCTAGGATAGCTCTTGACAGACTTGGTAACGATAACCACTTTGGTAATGGCACATGAAAGCTCACAAAAGGTGTCATGGTTGTCGCCCGAGGACAATTTGTGGCACGCTTTATAAGACCCATGTGAAGGTTTGCTCAGACAACCTCAATGCAGGTGAAAATGAGGCTTCACGAAATTTGTGGCACCAAAGATTCGATCACATGGGGGAAAAATGGTTGTTTACCTTAGCAAAAAAGGGTCTCATCACAATTGCCNGAAATTTGTGGCACCAAAGATTCGATCACATGGGGGAAAAATGGTTGTTTACCTTAGCAAAAAAGGGTCTCATCACAATTGCCAAGGATGTTGCTCTTAATCCTTGCGAATATTGCTTGTTTGGTAAACACCATTAAGTCTCATTCAGTTCCTCTATGAAGAAGAGATCAGAGTTGTTAAGCCTGGTACACTCTGATGTTTGCGATCCCTTGGAGGTGGAATCATTAGGCAAAAATAGATATTTTCTAACCTTTATTGATGATACTTCACGAAAGGTGTGAGTGTACTTCCTAAAGACAAAGGACCAAGTATTCGGATGCTTCAAAAGATTCCATGTCATGGTAGAGTGGGAAACAAGAAAGAAGATGAAGTGTCTCTGAACAGACAATGAAGGCGAATACACTTCCAGAGAGTTCAAAGACCATTGTGGTAATTACGATATCAAACATGAAAAGACGGTTCCACGTACCCCACAACATAATGGTGTAGCGGAGAGAATGAATCGAACTATTGTGGAAAGAGTTTGATGCATGCTCAGTATGACAAAGCTGCCGAAGCCATTATGGGGTGAAATTTTTCGTGTCGCTTGTTATTTAATAAACAGATCACCATCAGTACTGTTGAATTTTGAGGAAGGTGTGGTCTAATAGAATCCCTCTTATTCCCACTTAAAAATTTTTAGGTGCAAGGCAATTGCACATGTATCCAAGGAGCAGAGGTAGAAGCTTGATGTCAAGACCACTCCATGCATCTTTATAGGCTATAGAGATGAAGAATTCGGATATAGATTATGGGACCCAAAGGATAAAAAAGATTATCAGGAGTAGGGACGTGGTGTTCCATGAAAACTAGGTATACGAGGACTTTAAAAATCCCACAAAGTCTAATAGTTCTAGTTTCAATGCGCAGGACATTGTTTCAGATCCTGCACCGTTATAGTTTGCCACAGATAGTGACGAAGTGTAGGATGAAGCTCCAGAAGCAGAACAACATGATGAAGGTGTTGAGTAGGGGGAGTTGCAACCCCTTCCACTAGATGCTGAAGAACCATCACATCAATCAGATGGTGATATACCTCATATAGCTGACGAGCCTTAATCACAAAGATCTAAAAGAGGACGTATTTTGTCGAATAGATATTTGGAGTCAAACTATATTTTACTTATTGATGAGTGGGAGCTGGAGAGTTTCCAAGAAGCACAAGCTCATAAAGATAAAGAAAAAATGGATGCAAGCCATGCAAGATGAGATAGATTCCTTACAGAAAAATCAAACCTATGAGCTGGTGAAACTTCCAAAAGACAAGAAAACACTGAGGAATAAATGGGTGTTCAAGCTGAAGAAAGATGGTAGCGCTGGTGAAGTATAAGGCTCGGTTGGTCGTTAAAGGATTCCAATAGAAGATGTTTTCAATTCGAGTCATTCTCGGATTAGTAGCCAGTTTAAACTTAGAGTTTGAACAAATGAACGTGAAAACAACATTTCTTCATGGAGATCTGAATGAAGAAATCTATATGGAACAACCGAAAGGTTTAGGGGTTCTAGGAAAGGAAAATCTGGTCTGCAAGTTAAGGAAGAGTCTGTATGGCCTTANAGAAACACCAAGTACTGGAAGTAGCCTCTACTTCGAACGCCAATTCATGTTTGAACTAGAGGAGCTTACAGTACTTTATATTTGAAGAATATCAAAAGTATTAGGAACACCCTTAGTTCG